TATTCACAAAATATTGGGAGGTTCATTTATTCCGCTACACTAGTTAGAATTTTCTGATTTCTCAATCTCTTTACCATACACATCTTAAACAAAAGATCCAAAAATTGACATTGAAACTAATGGCTTTTGAGATGATAATTGACATGATCAAATATATCTAAGAAATATCACATGGGTTTTTGGATGTAATTAAGTTCACAAAGGTATCGAACAATAAAATCACTGAAAATGATCACCGACAGGAAAATAAGGAAGAAAGGATAAGTCACAAAACATAGAGAAAAAAAATGTTCAAAAAACAGTTTCTTGTCCGACGATTAAATCAGTTTCTATAAAGAGAAGAAGCTTCAGCAATTTAAAGATTGAGAAAATATAATGAGTATCGGGTTTTTCATGACAATAATCGGACATGAAGCCTAAAAATAAATAAATACTTGTGAGGTATGTAAAGTTAGATAAAAAACTGAACTAATCAAGATCAATTTCCTCAGGAGTAATCGCCTAACTTCTGTACATTGTCGTATTGCATAAGAAAAAAAGTTTTCTGTATGATAGAAACATCTAAAAGTCCTCAGATAACCAAGAAAAGAAACTTGAAAACGAAGCTATTAACCTGTAGTGAGCGAAATGCAAGTATTTGACATTTGACCAGTATTTTTTGTATTTGAGGTGGAAAATAAGTGAATGTCTATGGTCCAAAATACCAAACGACAGCACCGGTTAGCATAAAGAAGGGCATTAAAATCGTATAAGTTGGTTTGGTTACGGGATTTTTCAGTGAATATAGCAGTGAACAACGTTAAAACACCGCTCACAATGGAAATTAAGCTGCCGTACTACGGTGATACTTGTTGAGCTAAAACCATACGTCAACAAGAGATTTAGGTCTTCAGGTTTTCATTCAAACTACAGTTGTTTTCAATTCAGCTTTTCAAATCAACATCTATATTTCGCCGTTGAAAAGATTTGTCGATACCTGCTTCCTATCTTTTAGCATGTGTTAATAGCATAAATACTTTATTCATCGCATGAAAAAACTTTTACAGTATTACAGTACATGGAGAATCGGTCGAATTTTAAAAAGATGAGTTGAACAATTCCTTGATCTTATTGTAATAAAAAACATTGAACTTATCTTTAGTGTTCATTTTGTTAATACTTTCTTCACTTGACATTGACATTCTCTTCACGGATACTACAATTGACTATGAAAGAGAACGATAAGTTATATTGAGTTGCGGTCTTTTTCTTTGTGCTTTTAGAGCATATACATGATCCTATTGTCTATCGTACCATTTTATAAAAATGATTCAACAAATCGGATATGGTAGCGTTTAAAAGTGTATTATCGAATAAAGGGCACTGTAAGTTAAAGAAAGAAATCACATTGCAATTCATCGTTTAACTTTCACGGAATATAGAGACCGAAACGACTGTGAAGACTCATTAGATGTTCTTCTACTTTATTTGTATACAAGAAAATAGTGGCAAGCAATATGATATTTATAGATGTTAAGGTATTGTCATTGTGCTACAGAATACAGAAACCTCTTGAGAGTGTTTTCCTATTACTTGAAGGATCATCCATAAAACGCGTCCAAGTAGGTGAAGAGAATGGAATGGATTGATCAAAAGTGAACGGATCTGGACAGAATATGGGGAGAGTTTAAACCTCACTGCATGTGAAGATATTTAATATGAACATTGTTCTTTTTTGAACGTATCTTTTCGAAAAATTTTGAAGCTTACCTGGTTGTGAAGAGCATTTTTATAATAGAAAATGAATTGAATCGAGCCGTTGAATATGAATATTGTATTGAAATAATTGAGGATTATACTATATGAACGGATAGCTTTTCTATGGTGTACTAATATAAACATTGTTAAATTTTCGAATGGCATTGATATTGACCGGCATCTCTTGTTTTTCGTTTTTATATTTTTCCTAACTTCTGCTCACTAGCATACAATTTACTTAAAAAGAAAACTTTATAATAAACTATAACGAGTGAATCAGAATAAATTAGACTTTTTGTATTTTCAATATTCCTCTTGTTTTCTCTGTTAGATTGAGACATATTTTTTACTAAGAAACCGTATATGATTGGGATCAAAAATCATTTTAGATATATTTGAAAAAACATGAAAAGTAAAGAAGTACAAACAGCTGTTAAAAATATGAAAATGGTGGTGGAGCAGCGAAAATTTATCGTGATCTGACCGGTGAGGTTTCATCACAGACAATTAAAATTATGGAGAAAAAGGATCAACAACGTTGATACTATCAATTTATCGTCGTTTTCCGATCGCATGCGCAAAGTTTGGATAAAAGCCAATATCTCGAAGGTGAAATGATGCTTAACTCAAAAGAAACAGATGTCAACAAAGAGATGAGCTGCTGAAATGGATGTTTTAAGAGGCAGTATACAAAGAATCTTACGTGAAGAGTTTGACTGCTTTCCATAGAAGAAAAACAAAACAGCCAAAATGAACTGATCTTTAAAGCAAGAAGAGGGTCAAGTTTGAAAAGTGAGTATTGAATAAAAACATCATAATATCAAAGATGATGCTAAAGGGTGACATTTTACAGACGAGAAATTTTTGGATTTAAATGGGATGTACAACCGTCAAAATGACAAGATGTGAACTGCCCACAAAGAAGAGGCTGATAAAAAAGGTAGTCTTTATGAGAAAACAAAATTTACGGTCACGGTAATGGTGCAGTTAGATTTATGCGGACAAAGGTGAATAATGTCGGTGATTTTGGAAGATGACACAATGGATGCAGAAAGATACATTGATGAAATTCGAAGTTAGCTAGTCCATGTTTTCGAAGTCAAATTGAAACATTAGGATATGGGTGCAGATGTGGATATAAGTGGATATGGGCGTGAGCAAGTGTAGGTGTGGATGTGGATGTGGGTGAGTGTGATCGTCTCTTGCCCACAGCCACCCACATCCACACTCCCTCATCAGTTCTGTTACAATATTAAATATTAAACCACAATCAAAGTTTATTGTTTTTCAAATAAATTGTCAATATGGGGCAATTTACAATGGGGAGACTAAAGTTGAACTGATTAATAGAATGAAACAACTCAACAAAGTGGGTGTGGATGTGGATTTTAGTATTCTAGGTGGCACACCACACCCACCCACACCTACACCCAGGTTGAACAATACAAAATTATATAATATCTATCAGTATAGCATGATATTTTTTTAAAGGGTTATGAGACAAAAGTAGGATTGAAAGGCAGTTTTCTATCGAGTGGTCAGAAGCAACGTATTGCTATTGCTCGAGTTCTTGTTCGCCGACCTAAAGTATTGCTGTTAGATGGAGCTACAAGTGCCATGGATTCACAAAATGAACAAGTATGTTTACTTTTTTTCTATTTATCAACCAAAGTGACATCTTCATTTGTTAATTATAGATTGTACAAGAAGCTCTTGAACAAACTCAAACAAAAGATCCCAATCGATTATTACTCATTGTATTTCAATTATTCGCTTATGTGATTGGATTTATGTACTGGATAGAGATCATATAGTGGAAAGTGGTACTCATACAAAATTGACACAACGACGTGGAGCTTATTATAAGATGCTTGCTCAAAACAACTTACAATGATTACCTATGAACTATTTTGAAAGTGAAAATATACTTCACTAAGCATTCAGCGATATTTTGTCTAGAATATCTAACGCATGATATAGTTAAATTGATCAATTTACAGTGTACCACTTTTATTGTTTAAAGAAGTTAAATATTTAACCAAGTTACAATATATTAAAACATTTGTTGTTAATTTATTAGTCATATCTAAAGATAGTACAGACAATGATGATCTCAATAAATACTTAGAAAGAAGCATTTCCAACTCTCTAAAAACAAAAAGGTGTCATAAGAAAACATTTAGGGTTTTAGATTTTGGCACCATTTTCAGAACCTTTTTTTATAAGTTCCAGCCAAAACGTCCAAAAATTAAAAAGGTTTTAGCCAGAAAAGTGAAACTTTAAACAGTTCAGACTCTTTGGCTAGAACTAAAAATGGTTCTGAGAATGGTACCAAAAAATGGTTCAGTCTGACAGCTTTTTTTGCAGAGAACATTCACACTATTTTCAATGATACAAGTTGTCTCAAAAGTCGAGTTCACTTAAAAAAAGCGTCTAGCTCCGTTGCTAAAACAAGCTTGACCTAATATTTCTCTTTATTTGGAAGAGAAGAACATAATTTTTTTTGGCTAATACAAAGTTCATAAATACTGTTCAAAAGTATTGCCTTTAACGTCAATACAAAAATGTAAACATTTCAAAATTACTAAAAAAACATCACGAAATGTTTCTATTTTTTAATTATTTCGATTTTTTTCGTTATTCTAGTCTTTAAAGGGTGTGGGAATGGAAGATCAACACCTACACCCATGTCATTACCTCTACACAGATACTTATATCAGTTTCTGCCTCTTCCTCCGTCTCTCCGTACTCACACGTACATTTACCTTTCAAGCGTTGAAAACAAAATATTTTTTAAGAATAATTGAGACGCAGAAGTGTTTCGTTTATTTTCATTCCATCGGTATGCAAAAGTCACATCTGTTTTTTTTTCGCAAGTAGTGCTTTTCAAAATAGCATAAACAGTCTTAACAGTCACAGGTTTCTTTTATGTCAATAGTATGTGCATGATAAGGCATTAGTGAAGATCCTTAAAACTTATAAAGTTTATTTAGTGAGAACAAAAATTTGTCCATGATTTTGTTGAATCTATACAATAATACAAACAAGACGTAAGAAATCATGCCATCATCTGTTCTTGAGTTTTATAAAATAGTTGCTCGACGATGTCAGTTAGCTTGAAGCATTGAAAGTGCCGTATTAGTAATCAAATAGATGAATCATTGGAGAACTCATTGGGAGAAGCAGACAGATTATAAAGAGCGAAGAAAGTTGACAAAAAAACAAATCATTCGTTTTCAGTGACCAATTTTCCGGCGATGAAAATGCTTGTTCGTGTATTTTTCGTTTTTACCTGTATCCTTAGTATAACTGACAGTGTTCCTTTGAGTGAGTTTTTTCCATATGGACCAACAGCTAATGATCAAGTGTTTCCACCTAATGATGATGGAAGTACAAATGCTTTACCATTACCTCGAATATTTCCTTATTTTAATAGCAACCATCGTCAAATTTACTTAGCTAATAATGGTCTTTTTTCTTTTCTGGGACCAATATCTCAATTTGTACCTACACCATTTCCACTTAACGATGGTCGTCGCGTGATTGCCGGATTCTGGTCTGATATAGATACCCGAGGCTCTATTCCATCGGGTAATAAAGTTTATTATCATATTTATGCCAATCAAAGCAATACTGTTGTATTTGAAAAGGCAATAACCTATGTTCAACAATATTTTCCTGGTGAACGATCATTTAATCCATCGATGATTATTACTGGTACATGGTATCAAGTAGGTGCTTATTCTTATCAAACGAATCTAGTGAACACATTTCAAATTGTACTGGTAACAGATGAAATACGTAGTTTTGCTTTTCTTCTTTATCATGATTTGCAATGGGCTAGTCCTTCAACTAGTTCTTTATTAGGTGTCAATTCATCATCTGAAATCGGCGGCCAAGCTGGTTTTAATGCAGGTGATGGTATTATTTTTGAAATGTTACCCTATTCCCGAACCAGTAATGTTCGTCGATTAGTAAATATAAGTAATGTTAATGTTCCTGGTCTATTTGTTTTTCGAATCGATTCAGATACAATTGTTCTTGGTGGCTGTGGTAATGATTCAAATTTATTATTTAGACCACGCCGTGGATCTCAACTTGGTTTTACACCAATTACTATTCAAGGTCCATGTTTCACAAATACAAGTGAAGGTGATATTAAATGCCGATTTAGTGAATCAATATTAGTTGATGCTATTGTTATCAGTGAATTTCAAGCTATTTGTCTTACACCATCTGTACCATTACCTACTTCTATTAATGTTCACTTAAGTACTGATAGAGGTATTACATATCAATTACTTCCAAACACATTCACTTATACATCAGTTGAATATGGACTTTCATCAGTAGATAATGCTCAAGTAATTATTCTCAATCGTACAGATATCATTATAACAATAGGTGATCGACTTATTCTGGGATGGTATTTATCAGAAACAACAATGAATAATTGGCCAAATAATAGAATGCGATTTGAAATAGAAATGTGGAGTGTTACATTAAACGAATCAAATGGTGGTATTACAGAAAATAGTCATATTGTACTCCAAACAAATCTTATGCCCACATTAGGTTTTCAATCAACATCGATTCTTATTCCATCAATTGGTAACAATGATCTGGCAACAGTATTTTTTCGTATTATAGCACGTGATAATTTGACAAATACCGTTTATGCTGGTTTTAATTCTCAATTAATTGTATTACATGATACTACCATAGATACTTCGGGTTCTTGTCAAACATGGGCACAAGGACAGCCATCACCATTAACATGGAATGAAAATTTATTACCTTGTCCATTAACAATAGCCCAAGCACGTGTTGCACGTTGTTGTTATGAACCAGATCCTTTATGTATGGAAAATAATTATGATTCATCAATTAATTGCCGTCTTCGTCGTGGACGATCTAATCGTGATGAATTATCAGCTGTTGCGTGTTATTTATCACGTTCAACCAATCAATGGAACGCAGGTACTCGATGTTGTTATGGTAGTAATGGTCAACTGATAACTCATGGTACAGGTGCTGGAACAGATAATCGTTATCGACCAGCATCATCTCCAATTCTTCATTTCTTTAGTGATACATTACCGTTCCTCGCTTGTTGTCTTTTAAATTCAAATGAAGAACATTGTACAAGATATTTTGAGTTAAGACCATCCCGTCGAGGTAGTAATTCACCGAATGCATGGGGTGGAACATGGGGTGATCCTCATTTTACTACTCTTGATGGTTCAGCATATACATTCAACGGTTATGGTGAATATACCTATTTAGCTATTACTGATTTTTCAACATCAATCAATACTGCTTTTAATCCATCCACACAGTCTTTTATATTTAATGCTCAAATACGCACAGCACCACTTAGTTCATTCAATAATAGTGCTACTGTTATTCGTGGTTTTGCAGCTAAATCTAATCATTCTCTTGCACAACGTATGAGCATTACTGTTTCGAGACGAGATATGTTAATTATTCAACGAGATAATGAAACACTCGATCTTGATGCAACAACTGATGATACAATTTCTACAAATAATTCTCTTACACTCTTTTTTCCTGAAATGACTTTAGAACGAAATCAAACCAGTGGTATTCTTACACTTTCTTGGTTTATCGGTGTTAGTATTCAAATAACACCTATTTCATTAACAGATGGTCTAGTACTTAATATTGGTGTATCAGTTGCTGGTTCATATCGAAACCGTACATTTGGTTTACTTGGTTTATATGATAATAACCCAAATAATGATCTTCGAACACCAAATGGAACTATATTAGGTCTTCCTAATACACTTACTCTTGAACAAATTCATCAACAATTTGGACAACCATGGGCTATCGACCCAAATCAATCACTTTTTTATTATGAAATGGGTGATTCAGCGACAAATTATGCTAATCAAAATATTTTGTATATTCCATCATTCATATCACCTGAACCTCCCGCATCTCAATTGAATTCAACACTTTCAGCATGTAATATAGATCCATCATTAACAAATCGATCATCGTGGACAACTGCTCAACAAACTTGTTTCTATGATATTGCAGTTACAAATGACATTTCTCTTGGACGAACATCAAGAATAGCAGCTGAAACTGTTCTTCAAATTTCTATTGATCAACGTTATCCACCAGAATTTAATCCAGATTTACCACTTATTCTTACTGTGAATGATTCAAATTCTATTACAATCAATTTCACTGCTATTAGTCCATATACTTCACATATAACTTATAATCTAATTCAAGGACCATCATCCGCTAGTTTTGATGAACAAACAGCACTTTTTCATTGGCAAACATCAACTTTGAACAATAGTGAAACAGTAATACGTGTTACTGCTCAAGATTCTCAATATCAATTATTATCAACACATGAACTTACTATACGTAGTTCTAGTCGAAGTATCGATGGCGGAATAACTCAACCATCGCATGGACAGATTACTTCGATGTCATCGATATTTATTGTCATGAATATTGTCATGACATTTTATTTTTATTGACACTGAGTATTTATTTAGTTCATTTGCATGTGATTCAAATGATTATTTTTCTTTCCTTAGCTAGTTTTTCCTTGCCGATAGGTGATTGCAAAAAAATCACTATTCAGCGTTATCACATTAATGCATTAAATTTTTTTTACGATTCACGATCCTGTTTTTATCTAATTTTTTTTCTCTACATTTATTCCTTTCAATTTTTTTCTTATATGATTTTTATTTTCATTAAAATCTCTTAACTTAACTCTTTCTTAATTAAATATTATGTTCAAGAAGCAAACTTAACCAGCATTAATACACATTAAAAGAATTTCAGTATAGTATAATATACACATAGGGTTATTCTTAATGTTTGTCATATAAAACAATTTCGATACTTCCTCAATAGAGTTGGTTCAATCTAGTTTAGTTTAGAATCAACCTTCAAAGTAATTACTGTTATCTAAAATACGAAATGAGTGTGGATGTGGTCGTTTCTTGCCCACACTCACAACCACATCCCAAAGAACTATGACGTAGCATTTGTCTAATCAATGGAAAACAGACACACACTGAGCTCGTATTGTGAGCCCTCTAGCAATACTCAGCATCTTTTATCAATCAAAAAAGGTAAATGAAAATCAATTATATTCATGGACAGTCATAACGAATAAAGTTTTGTTTAACATACGAGACTGATGAATACATTTTAAATTTCGAATTACCAATCTTCAATATGACGAAGACTTCGAAAGGTCATAGCAATATGAAATATAGTTGCTGCTGGAATTCTTTTTCATTAACTGAAAGAAATAGAGTTCTTACTTCAATGTTATCTTTTTTTTGGAGTAAATCGAGAACGAATGGAGCTTCATATGGGAGTTTCAAAGAAAAATATTGATAACATAGGAACGTTGAACTTTGTAGCAACATTTGAACAAGTATTGTACGATTCGCTGATTTATTGATCATCATGAAACAAAATAGCGATTCGAGTTTATTTTTATAGCAAAAATCATAAAAATTGATTAGTATTTTTAAATGTCTCTTAACAAGCAATTATTCTATTAATAAAATTGGTTTTAAAATAAGAAAAAATGTAATTAATCGATCGATTTCATATTTCCTATTAGTACTACGCATTAAAAAATATTGGAAATAACTACATCAAAATCTGACGTATATATGGTACTAATTATTTTATATGAATGAAAAACATAGATTCTCTTCGACCAAATATAACGAAGACGCGGCAAGACAAAATCATCGTTTTACGGATTATTAAACAAAAAGAAAGCTAGAGAAAATTATGTAGAAAATATTTATTTTTATTGAATAATTTGTACTTCACAGAAGCTTTTCGTAATTTTTACTTTTTTGAACTGTTTTTGTTGTGAAGACAATCTATTATATTGAACTTAAATAAAAAACCTAATGTTCAATAATTAATCAAATTTGATATTTAATATAAACTAAATTGGTTTCAAACCAAAAGCGATGCACATATTATCATAAATAATAAACGCCATGATTGAATGTGGCCCAAGACGCATCCAATTAGGTAAAAAGCCTTTGTAAAGACCATAGAAACCTTCAGCTTTAAATGATTGAAGAAAACAATCAAATACACTTGAGTATATGCCTAAATGAGCAGGTGTATTTTGATATCGAGTTTTAATGACATCTACTGGTGATGTTGTTAGCGAACAAATAAGACCAGCAAAGAACGAAGCTACCGTATGCAAGGCTATACCTTCTTGCATATAACCATGACCAATTAGAATTCTTTTGATTTGATCGTATGATGCTACTTGACTACCAGTAAGTATAGCAGCACGAATCATTGTTGGTCCCCAACCTTTATAAAGACCTGCTAAACCTTCTGTTTTGCCTACATCAATAAGACCATGCATTAAACCACGATATCGTCGTTCACCTTTGACTTGAAGACGAATTTTAACAACATCGAGTGGTGTTGCAAAAAAACTTGATATAGCACCGGAAAATATACCAGCTATTATTTTCGTATGAAGATTATTACCACCACCTAATAAGTTTTTGAATGGTTCATATAGATACTATTAAAAAAAGAAATTAAAATAATAAATAAAATGTTTACATAAAATAAATGATTGTTATTTATCTTTCAAACGGAAAGTAAAATAAGTTTTTTCCTTAAACATTTATTTAAAGAAATTGAGAACAATGATTAAATAAATAGACTACTTACAATACGCATGCCAGAATAAGTAGCATCTCGTAATGTACCAGGAACAGCACCACGCATTAGACCAGCAAGACCTTCTTCACGAACAATACGAAGTGTTCCACGAATAAAACCTTGATAATAACGATTGTGCATTTGTTCACCAACACTACGTGTTTTTTGTAATTCACCATCTACTTGCATACGTGTTTTAATCACATCGATGGGACTGAAATAATAATAATAATATATATATAATGATTATTTGATTCTATAATTTACTTACTTAGTACAAAAACCAGTAAAACCTTGAGAAAAACTTGCAAAAAAGAAACGAAGAAGTTCATTTGATTTGTTCGCTATTGGTAGATCAGATTGTACTGCCATATTGTTTTTGATAAATTGCTCACATACACTTAATAATCAACAAACACGTGGTTGTTCCTTGCCACACCATTCACCTATGAGTTTATATATCGCGAAGGTCGTTTGCCGTCAACAAAAATACAGAACGCAAAATAATTATACGATGTATACAATAATAAAAAAAAAAGCTGGTAGGTCAAATTCGACGTTCTCTAAAACAACAATCAAAAATGATTATCAATATCTCATTTAGAGTAAAATAAAAGTGAATAAATTATATATACATATATATGTATATTAACATGTGATTTTTAATAAAACTATTTACATAAAAAGTGGTACCGCCACATACCCAAGAGTATAATATGTATTTTTTTCATGTCGTTTTTTTTTGTCCTTCTCATATGATAAGATAACAGCAAATAGGAGAATATTTCTTTCGCAAACAAAGAAAATTGCTTTTCAATTAGAAAAAAAGAAGCGTCGTAAATAGTTTTGCTCGCATTAACCTCTCAGTTGGATAAGGAGTGATTGATTATGGTAATCTTTGACGTTTACACCCTAGATAGGAAGAAAATGTTTGAATACAAGATTTTTAAGAGAGTTTTTCAATGATTTGATGTGTAAATATTTTTAGGATTATTTTATTATTAATAAATATTGATTACTCGTTTTGAATGCAATTTTTCATTATGAAATTATCTTTAAAAAAATTATTGTTTAATTGTATTGATTTATTTTATTGTGTTTTATAGTTTGCTACTAGATCAAATTTTTTTAGCGTTTAATCCATCAAGCCAATATTAATTTCTAAAAAACTATATAATCGCATATTTTTTTCCTGTGAATCAATAAAAAACTCAGAATGTTGAATAATCTTCTTTTTTACTCATCTCAACGCCATCCTTTCTTTGTCGAAAGCGTCTGGCATCAATTTGATTTGTATAGAATCAAAAACATACAGTATAGAGTCGAATCACAATTATATCATATTCATAATAATAAGTGACTCTTTCAATGACATATTATACATTGTCAGTTGAGTGAACAATTAGATTTGTAGAAAATGTATGTTCGTTCTTAATTGAAAATTACTATTTATTTCAATGGTGAAGTATGAAGCACTGAAAACATCGTTGTGTTCAATTGATTCATATCTTATCACAACAAAATTTGATTCAATTATCTGTATCAGTTGTGTATTCATCTAATGATATTAATTTTAATTAATTTTTACTTATTATATTTGTTCTATTAATTATTAACACAATAATATGATTTCTTACAAAACGCATCATCCAAAGTACAGATGTCATTTTTTCGTCAATTATATATGCATTAATTATAGAAGGTTAATATCTGTTATATTTTTCATATTTTATTTATCAGAGAAAGAATATAGCTATGATTTGTTACACTCAATGTGAAAAAGTAGCAGACGACTCATTTAGCCTTTTTTCCAGTAGATGCCCTAACTTGCTTTTAGTTCTCATCTTTGTGTCATTATTGAAACAGAAAGTTAATACCGGGGCAAAAAAAGCAATAGAGGATACGGTGGTGAAAAAAATTTGAACAATAAATACATTTGTAATAATGAAATCAGCTGGTTTCACCATTTGAATCATTTATACCAACTTTTGAAATTCTATTACTACGTCTTTTATTGAGCCTAATAGAGTCTCCAAAGTTGACACAAACAGTCTAAATAGTGAAACCACCTGATAGTATCATTAATGAAAATCAATGGAAAGAAAACTTTGATCAGCACTCAAAATACTTTGTTTCACGTAATCTTTTATACTGTTCTAGATGAAAAAGATTGAATTCATATGTAGCAAGATATGTTCAACGAATTGCACATATCCGATTTTAACAATTTTTAATGAGAAAATCGTCAAGTATTTATGTAGTAAAATAAGAAAGATGATTCAGTTGCATTCTTGAATAACTATAGCATCTGACAAAGTTTTGTGAAAGACTACCTAAACCTTTTGGTACTTACAATCATTTGATTTTGCTATTGATGGAAGAGTTTCATTGCATAATTATTTACTTTTTCAATATTTCAACGCAAATACAATTACACTTTGAATGTGCGTCATCTAAGTTCTTAAGTAACTATGTACCAAATCGTAATGAAAAAAAAAACTTTTCTAGTTAACTATAACTAGCGTCACCTATTATTTAAAATAAAAAAGATGTGAAATATATTGTTATTTATTTTTCTTTTATTCAATTTAAAAAAAAACAATTTCGTTTTAAAACTAATAGAGATATAAAAATCAGATGTTCAAAAAAATTCTTGGTTCAAAATGGGAATTTTTCAATCGAACATTGATTGGTACATTTATACCTTTGTGAAAAATCATTTGAGATTACTTAACCTAATTTTATCGTTTCTATTAAGTGCACGAGTTCTTGTTTAAATACTTCATCAACATATCTATTTAAGATTATTATTTAGATAATCTAAATTGAAATAATGGGTCGACCAGGTAATTTTAAATGAAAACGAAAAACTAAGAAACTCTTGTTTCAATGTATGTTTTATTAAAATAGATTTTCGTGGTGGTCGTGGAGGTGGTGGAGGACGTGGAAGAGGTTAGTTGATCTTTTTCTTTCCTATTTATTAATTTAAATAAATAAATTTTTCTATAGGAGGTGGTGATCGCGGTGGTTTTCGTGGTGGACGAGGTAGGATTTACATTGATTCTCGTATTTGTCTTATGTTTATTTTATTTAGGTGGTGATCGAGGTGGTCGCGGTAAGATTTTTGAATATAATAGGAAATTTTAATACGTAGTTCAACTGATAGGTACACGTGGCGGTGGTGTACGTGGTGGTGGAGGTGGACGTGAGTACTTTATGTGAAATTCTCTATAATTTAGAAAAACTATTTTTCTTAGGTGGTCGTGGCGGTAGTCGCGGCGGTCGTGGTGGTAGAGGTAAATGAAAATATTTTTGTCTATCTATTAATTTTATGTATTATATATAATAAGGCGGTGGCGGTGGTGCTGGTGGAAGAAAAGTCGTTGTTGAACCACATCGTCATCCAGGTTAGTTTATTATCTTTTGTAATGTTATTCTCTGGTATTATATCTTTTGTTTTTCTTCTAGGAGTATTTATTGCTCGATCAAAAGATGATGATATGTTATTAACTAAAAATATGGTTGTTGGTGAAAGTGTTTATGGTGAAAAACGTATTAGTGTTGATGTATGATCTTTGTTTCATAAGTTTTTCAAATCAAGAAATTTTTTTTTTCTTAATAGGGAGAAAATCAAGAAAAAATTGAATATCGTGTATGGAATCCGTTTCGTTCAAAATTAGGTGCTGCTATTCTAAGTGGTGTTGATAATATTCATATGCCACCAGGTACAAAAGTTCTTTATCTTGGTGCAGCAAGTGGTACAACTGTTTCTCATGTATCTGATATTGTTGGACCAGTATGTATTTTATTTTTCTATTTAATTTATTTTAATTCAATTCTATTAAGGATGGTCTTGTTTATGCAGTTGAATTTTCACATCGGTCTGGTCGTGATTTATTAAATGTAGCAAAAAAACGAACGAATATTATTCCAATTATTGAAGATGCACGACATCCACATAAATATCGCATGCTTATTGGTTTGAAAATTAATGAATCTTTTTCTTTTTTTTTATTAATTAATGTTTTTCGTAGGTATGGTTGATACGATATTTGCAGATGTTGCACAACCGGATCAAGCTCGTATTCTTGCACTTAATGCACATCATTTTTTGAAAACTGGTGGACATTTTGTTATTTCAATTAAAGTAAAGAAAATAACAAGGATTTTTATTTTTATTTTTATTTTTTTGAATAATTGTTTTTTCTCGTATAGGCAAGTTGTATTGATTCAACAGCAGCACCAGAAGCTGTTTTTGCTGGTGAAGTTAAAAAACTTCAAAGTGAAAAACTCAAACCAAAAGAACAACTTACATTAGAACCGTATGAACGTGATCATGCGGTTGTTGTTGGTATTTATCGGTAAGAATAAATTTTCTTATTGTTAAAAAATCGAATAATTTTTTTTTTTTTGCGTGGTTTAATTTTTAGACCTGTTGGTAAAGGCAAGAATAAAGATGAAAATGAAAAAAAAGAATCAATGGAAGAATAATAACATTGGTATTATGTGTTCAACAATTTTGTGTCGGCGCTTTATGCCTGTTATTTGTACCGTTTTTGTTGTTTTTGTTGTTGATTAAAAATAGCAAACGCACATATGAAAACAAAAAAAAAAAACTAATCTTTTCATCTTAAGAGAAACTTTTTCAGAAAAATCATAGGAGATATAAATATTGGTTTGTAAGTCATTTTGAATAATAGATTGAAAATGCTTTATTCAATCAAGCGATAGTACCTATGTGATGTACGAAGTTTAGGACAGTTGCTTGCCAATTTAGTTTAAAAATGGACACGTTAACAAACTAAATGAGTATGTCGGATAAGTCATCAAATCAATTTCATTGACGATAGAAGTGAACATCTTATAATTAAATTCAAAAGCATATATTTTATAACGATAGTAAGTATCTGATATGTGTTAATTGGCTATCATTTCTTGAAATTTGGTTTTATCAGGGCGATTACCTTCGGTAGGTAATATATTTAACCATACCGACGGTATACTCGAAGTAAATTGCCTGATTGATTATGGATTTTTGTTCGGTTACAATTAGATGGGTACCTATAATATTTAATAATTAGAATTTACCGACTTAGCAAAGAACAGTAATTATTGTTTCAGTTTGAATTAATTTCTTTGAAAATTTTCCATGAAACAATCTTTACAAATCTCTGCTCGTTGTTTTATATATGACTATAACGGAAGATAGATATGTGTTTAGCTTCGATTCATTTAGTCTATTACTTTATCTTCATTTTCAGGCAAGCATTTGACACTGTTGGATACATAAGGTAATAAAAAGTCTTTCAAAAAAAGAGTTATTTTTTTATGATTTCATATAAAATATTAATAAACAATGAAAAGTGAACCTTAGACATATTGTCTTATGCAAGTTTTTTTATTTCATGAAAAAAAAAATATTGCTTGAAATAATCTGAGACTTTTTTTTTTAAATTAAAGTTGTCTCTGATTTGAATATTAATTTTCATGTCAGAAAATTTTTTTTTTCATTATTACTACTTTGAATTGGCTTCTTATTATATTTGTCATTCTTGGATACATACAAAAGAAAAAAAAAAACATGAGTTCTATCATGGAAGTTACAAATTCACAAGGAAAATTTATTTTAAAAGTAAGCTTTTGTTGTGTATTAATCATTCGAATATTCTTTTTTTTGTAAGGGTGAACCTTTAACAAATGACCAAGAACTTGGTAAGACAATACATATATTTATATATATATATACATTATATCTTAATAAAATTTGGTGATTTTTTTTTTTCTAGAATATAAACAAGCATTTAATTTATATGACCGTGATGAAGATGGTTTAATAAATTCAAAAGAATTAAGTTATCTTATTCGTTCATTAGAATGTAATCCAACTGATAATGAAATTCAATATTTAATTGATCATATTATTGATGAAGGTTTTTTTTTTCTTGTTAAATATTGAATATATTTATTTTTCTATAGGAAATAATTTAATTGATTGTAATCAATTTTTAATAATTATGTCTATATTACATAAAACTCGAGATAATGATGCTAGAAAAGAATTATATGAAATATTTAGTACGATTGATACTGATAATAATGGATTAATTGATAGTACTGAATTACGAACAGCTATGCGTTTATTAACTAGTGGAAATGATGATATGAAATTAACTAAAGAAGAATTTGATGAAATGATTGCAGAAGTTGATACAGATAAAGATGGACGAATAACATTTGATGGTAATTAAATGAATATTTAAAAAATAATAGGGGGTTATTTTTGTTTTGCTTATTTAGAATTTGCTGGTGTTTTTGCAGGACATATATAATTTTCAACTATGTTGTTTGTTTCTTGCTTATTGTATTTTTGAAAATAAATTTCATAATAAGAAGTTCGAAAATTCGATTATATTTTTAGTAAAGATTCAAACTTGAAATATATCAAGTGTAATTATATTGATTTTTTTAGTTTATCCTAGACGAGAAGTATTTTGATATTTAATGACATCTATCGAAGTGATTCTTATTGCGTTTTTTGAATACTATTTTTTTTTGCAATTTAGAATTTATGTTTTTGTCAATTTAAACAATTTTGTTTTTAAATGAATTGTTTATCAAAGTTTTAAAAAAAATATGTTTTTAGATAGGTATTGGATCTACTATGAAAAACAAAAATGTAAAGATAGAGATTGTTTTTATTATTTTAATATAAGATATATATTAACGAATCATATTTGTAAGAAAAGAATACGAGTTTTTAGTTTCTTCTTGAATAGTTTCAGATTTCAAAATATTTAAATTAAATCATTGAAATGTAATTAGTATTCTTTTAGATATTCTATATTCCTTTCAAAATCTCATGAAAACTATAACGAATCAATTTCTCAGCTTTTTAATATATACATATTTTCTTTTTTGTTTTGTACTCGTTCCTCTCTGATACTAGATTTGATCTATTTAGACATGGAATGGTATTAAATAACGAATCAACAGAGTACTAATGTCATAGAGACTTATGTTGGCCTTTATTTTTTACGGATATTGTCATTTCGGTTATTATTCATTCTTTTGTTTTTGAATGTAGATCATTATTAGCATCAGACAAATAGAAAGAACGACGACAAACATCAATCGATCGAACTAAAAGAAAAAAGAAAAAAAAATAGCAAATAAGCCAGAATCATTTTCTCTCTGTTCTCTATTTTATAACGTGCATACGCATGTCAAATTTCCTGAATGTTCGTCAGTGTCAATCAATAGTCAATATATCTCGGTGGTCAATAGTAACCATACAAAATAGATTCATCAACAAAATGACAACGATAGTAGTTTCAAATTCAATTGAGTAAGTCAAATAAAATAATATTATAGTGTTATTTACCTGTTTTTTTTTCTTTCTACTCTTCCGTTTTCTTGATCATCAGGTTATTTTTCCTCTTATTTAATTTTTCGGAAAAAATTTTGTTTCTTAATTTGTTAGTATGTATAGTCACTGTTTTGAAATATGAAAAAAAATAAAACAAATTGATTCATAATCGATTAATCCGAGAGAGACTTTCGCTAATAGTTAAGTAAGTAAGAAAAGTGCATTTATAGGAAAATAAATTTTACGTGTCAAGTATATTGAGACAAATCATTGTTGTTATTGGCTTTATGTATAGGACATTTGACGTTGTTTGTCAAAAAAAAAAGCACTTATATTTTCCTTTTATAACCGAAGAAAAAAAAAAAAACAACGACATCATTCTATCGACCTTAGAGTACTTCTATAAATGGAAGTTAGTCGATCTATCTAAGAATTACCTAATATAAAAACACTTCTCATATACGAAGATATTACGCAAGAAAGAATATATAAAATAATATGATATAAAGTTTAATGTTCCTTTTTGCTTTTTATATCATCGTTTTTCCTATTTTCTTTCGTTAATTTCATTTTTGGAATTATATTTAGAAAATTTCCTGTATACTAATCAAACTAGTTCAAGTAAGCGTTAATTCGACTGTTCGATGTAGTCAATAATAATCATTATGCTTTTCTTTCATCCATATTTGTGTCTAATTTCTTTAAATTTAATTTGAATCTCACTTGGTTTTCTTTGAATATTTTATATATATATATATATTAATTTTATTTCTTGTGGACAGTATAATTATTGTTATGTTTTTATTATTGCTATCATTTTTTACTATTATAACTTCATGACTGTATTCTCTGTATATTAAATACTGATGAATGAAATAGAAATTTTTTTATTTTTACTATTTAGTATGGAAAATAATGAAGAGTCTTCTTCAAACGATGAAGTAAATCAATCTACAGATGGAACATCTCGTTCTATTACTGATCGTTTACCCATGGGTCCCATTTTTGTTGCTAGTCGTCTTATGTCTTGTTTATCAAAACAACCACGTACAATAACACCAAGACGTCAATATTCAGTATCAACAAATAGTAATGGAAAATCATCATTTTTAAAACCATTATCTGAACGAATCTCATCTACACGTCTTCGTCCATCATCATCTCAAAGTCCATCAACTTTACGATCAGCATCTTATTCTGATTCATTGCATAAAAATTCACCTACTACAATACGTAATTCAACGACAACACCATCAGATTTACATAAAATATCTAAAACAATACGAACATCAATAACACCAACTACACCAACACCTGATACAGTTGGAGTTCAATTTAATTTTGATTCAACATATACACAATTACGTGATTTAGCTGATACAAATTGTAAATATTTTTCTCAACAAAAAACAGATGTTTGTAGAAGATTTGAACGTTTATTAATACAACTTTTACATTCAATTGATATATCCATACCATTTATTCAATATTTGACTGATAATTTTCATCATTTTGATTATAGTGCAGAAGTATATAAAACTAAATTTTTAGGTTTTTGTAGTATAAATTTCTTTTATTTGTTATTCCATAGATTAAAGCTAATGGTTATCGAACATTAGTTGTAGCACATGGTCAAGCATGTGAACGAACACTGGATATTCTTCGACAAGTTGATACAAAACGTGTTGGTCTTTTATTTAATCTTATGTATTCATCACGATTATTTCAAGATCTTGAATCTTGGACAAAAGCACTTATAGCAATGCAACATATATTAGCTTTGGCTGTTAAAATGGTTGATTATTCAGAAAAGAAAGTATTATATGTATGTCAAATATTTCTATTTTATAGAAAAATCTTATATAGATAATCTTTTTTTTTGTTTTCTGTAAATTTAGGTTGATGCTGATCATGTACCACTTGATCTTGAACTTGATTATTTTAAAATGGTTGCATTTGATTCAGAGTATTTCTTTGGTCGAACATGCGGATTTCAAGTAAAAATTTAGAGAAGAATACATAACTTTCTAAAATTCATCGGATTATAAGTGTATGAGCAAAGTCTCCCAATTAATTCATCACTTTTGATTCGGCATGATATGTATCATATAGACTAGAAGGAATTAAGAATACTCTGAAATATGTTCGTACTGTTAGTTTATTACGATCAAGGTTTCGACTAGACTTTTTGTCTTTAACCAGAATAATTTAATATGCCTGGGGGATTTGATGTTCCTATTTCAAGATAAGAACAAATCAAATGATCTAAACCTTTCCTAATAAATTATTCTCTTTATAGATTATCTTAGTGCAAAGTTTCGAGTCAAAATTTGAAAATCAATTTATCTATTATTTCCCTGAGGGGTGATAGCTCTGATTTGAAGCATCCTGTAAAAATTATACAAACTCGATAGTAATAAGTAAACACTACGAACTCCTAGTATGGTATTCATTATTCATCAGAGTCTAAATAATGCACATAGTTTCGGCACACAAGCAATTAATTAGTTGTGAGGACTTCTTCCGTTAACAAAACAGAAATGTAACATATCAATAATACATATCCAAATTTAATCAAATAGCCGACATATCCTATTAAATTAAGTTAGTCAAAAAAGTAAATATCATTATATAGACATGCAAATGAATAGGATCTAACAGAATAGTTATGGCGTGTATAAACTGGATTGAAATAATCTATGTAGATTAGTCATAGAGATCGTTATCAGAAATCTTTAAAAACAAATGAAATATTTTACATTGATTTTGAAACATATTTTGTTTTTTTGTATTTAAGTTTGCTCCATCGATGCAAACAATGCTTACTTTTCTATTAGCTGGTTTGGCTACTTATCATGAAACTTATAATAAATCAATACCTTATGCAGCTGCTAGTCTTGCAACAGCACCTAAATATATTCTATTTCCAGAACAACGAGCTAAAAAGGTTCGATAAAAGAAAATATTTTGTTTTTCCAATTGTTTTTTTTTCTATTAAAATCTTTACTTTATAGTGTGCTGCTATATTTCGTGATAGTGATTATTTATTTTGTAAATCATTTTGGAATATTGTTGATCATGATTATGTTAAAATGGGTTCACGTTATATAGCACCTAATGTAACTGTATCAAAATATTTTCAAATTGGACCTGAACCAATTGAAATTAATTCAATTATTATTCCACCACCAACAGCAAGAGCCAGTTCTGAAGAACCAAGTGAACGTGCAGCTGGAAATATTGGTGCTGGTTCAGATAATACAACTGGTTCAGGTAGTAAACAACCAAGACAACTTGTAAATATAAAACTTTTATCAAATGAAATACGAGAAGGTATGAATGAATTACCTTTAAAAAAAGCTGATTTTGAAATTTCATCAACAAAAATTTTACCAATGAGTGATCATCTTCTTTTACATATACATGGTGGTGGATTTATTGCAACATCATCAACAACACATGAAGTATGTTCAAAATGTTTCTTTAATGAATTAATATTTGTAAAAAAAAAAAACATCGTTTTTCTATTTAGGTTTATCTGAAACCTTGGGCATTAGGTCTTGAAATACCAATTGTATCTATTGATTATTCATTAGCACCTGAATATCCATTTCCACGTGCTATTGAAGAATGTTTTTATGCATATGCATGGGTTTTAAAAAATGCAAATAAATTAGGATGGACTGGTAAAACACTCTTATTTGTTGGTGATAGTGCCGGTGGAAATTTAGTAACAGTTGTTACAATGAAAGCAATCGAAGTTGGACTAAGAAAACCAGATGCAATTATTTGTTTTTATACACCTTTTCTTCTCGGTTATAGGTAAAAAAGCTTCTTTCGTTGTTGAATATGTAGTTCTCTATTGTAATACAACATTTACCTTCTTGATCTTCGATCTCTTGTTAATTTAGCACTGGGTAGAAAAAGATACGAATACAAATAGATCAGTTTTTATATTATAAG